TAAAAACTTCAATTGAATTTCAATAAAGTTAAAGGCATGGCCTCACCGTTAATATTTAAAAAAAAAAAAAAAAATTTAATTTAATTTAATTTAATTTAAATATTTTTTTTTTTTTTAAAAAAAAAAAATAAATAAATATTAAAAGATAAAGCATTATCTTCATATTTCAAAGCCAGAAATAAAAACATCACAGTTGCTATGGTATTCAAAAGTTGAACCTTTAGCTTTGCATATTCGGAATGTTTCTAAGTTAATTTACTTACCAAAATCACAAGTTTCAATTGACGAAATGGTTATTAGATTTAGAGGAAGAAGTGAACATACAGTACGAATTAAAAATAAACCTACACCAGAGGGATATAAAATAATTTCATTATGTGATTCGGGGTATACTTACTATTTTATTTTTACATCCTGTATTGAATCTAATTCTGAAATTAATTCAATTCCAAACATTAATAAAATTGGCTGGTTGGTGTATCATCTAATATCTCAACTTCCTAAGGACAAAACATTTGATATTTATATGGATAATTATTTTACAAGCATAAATTTGTTTAGTTATATGCAGCAAAATGGGTATGATGGTTGTGGAACAATAAGATGTAATACTTTAAAATTTCCTATCTTTTTAAAAATCAAAAAATCACAAAAAATAGAATGGGATACTCTTTCTAAAGCAGTTGTAGATGATGTATTAGTTGTGTTCTGGATGGATAATGGTCCAGTAACTATGTTAACAACTATACATAAAATTTTAGGTGAAGGATGTCGAGTAGAAAGAGAAAGAAGACGACCACGAACAACTAGTACTAATGCTAATAAAGTACGTAGTGTGTTTGGTAATGCAAGTAAAAAAATTCTTCCCATCCCTACCATAATTGATGATTACAATTATCATATGGGTGGTGTAGATGTAACCGACCAATTAAGGGGTTATTATGGTACACAAGTACCTGTACGTCGCACTTGGATGCCATTATTTTTTTGGCTTCTTGATACTAGTATCGTTAATACATTTCTTATTTCAAAAGCTCTTAACTTAATCATAGTTCACAAAGATCTTAGAATAAACTTAGTGTGGAGTTTAATAGAAGAATCGTTAGACATGAGCCAAAAATTACATACCCGAAACAAAAAAGCAAAGATTCAATCAGAATTACATAATCAAAATTCAAAAAAACAACCATTTTATGTTACCAAAAAATTTGAATTACCTATTGATCGTTTACTTCCACAAAGTCACTACCCAATATATCGTGAAGAGAGAGGTTCTTGTGTTTGGTGTCGGTTTCAATATATGTCCGAATATGGAAAACATGACAAGAATTCACCACAAAGCCAGGTGTGGTGTACAGTATGCAATATTCCTTTATGTATTAATAAGCAACGTCCAAATTGCTTTATTAAATACCATGAATATAAATAAATAAATAAATAAATAAATAAATATCATTTTTATACTTATTTATAGTGTCTTATATCGTTTATAACATTATTTTTAATGTAGTTGTAATACATGTGACTATCGGAAAATTTCAGGGCAAATTTGCCCTGAATTTCGAACGGTTTAAGGGATACGTAGCATGACGACTTCACTATAGCAAGATGTGTCTTTTATTAAGCTAATTGACTATATGGAGCAGAATATATTGCGTAAATCACAGAATTTATACCGTTTAAATATGCCATAGAAAAAAGTGGTGATATACTGATATATGGAAATATGAAGACCTAAATGTGTTAATTTCAAACACTAAAACTAATTGTCTCTTAGACATGAATCTATTATAGTGAATCTGAAATATTTTAACTTCACACTGATAGTCTATATAACTGATGTTGATTGGCTGTGTATCGGATTTAAATTGCATACAAATGCACGCCTGTCGATCAGGCGTTACTGTACTATTGTTTCCAAATGTTAACATTTTTTGATAAACTTTCGCGAGATTTTACCAAACTTCTTGAAAGTGAATATAATTATGATACAATTATCGAAATTGGTGAACAGCCAGATACTCAACTGTTCAAAGTACATTCTGCAATCTTATACCAACGCTCTTCTTACTTTAAACAAAAATTAACAAATACAATTAAAGGAAA